CTGCCTCCATGCCAGGGTATGGCATGCACCCAGTCCTGTTCCTACAAAGTGAGGGGATACGCTGCCTCCATGCCAGGGTATGGCATGCACCCAGTCCTGTTCCTACAAAGTGAGGGGATACCCTGCCTCCATGCCAGGAGCCCAGGACGACAGAGAGGTTGGCAGAGGGGCCCAGACTGTGCTCCCAGCTCCCGCTCCGCCCACGACAGGTGGGCCTCTCTCCCCTGGTCTCCTGGGACAGACCCGGGCTGTGGAGGGCGTGCTGCACCTGGAGCTGCTGGTGGCCGTGGGCCCCGACGTCCACCAGGCCCACCAGGAGGACACAGAACGCTACGTGCTCACCAACCTCAACATTGTGAGTGTCCCCCCGTCCCCCCCAGGGTCAACATCTGGCCAGCAGGCTGTCTGCAAGGACCTTGAGGGAACACCAGTGAGACCCATGGGCCCCCGAAGAGGGTGGAACTGGAGCAGGGCTCAGCTGGGGCTCGGAGCCTCTGGAGCAGGGAGGCGAGGTCTCCTCCTTGCCCCCTCGCTCCCAGGACCCCTCCCCACAGCTGTGCAGTTCACCCACAGCCTCTCAGCCTCTGGTGCAGAGGGCCCTGAGCTCCCTGCAGCCCCGATCAGTCTTGGGAGACCAGCTGCCACTCTCGGCAGACGCACCAGGAAAGCTGGAGTGGGAGGCACTGGGAGAGGGTGGAGGGGAGCTGGCGAGGGGCGTGAGATTCACCCATCGGGGAGGGAGGGAAAGGTGTGGAGGGAGGAGGGTGACAGAGAGAAAACCAGTCTTGGAATGGAACGTTCTAGACTGACAGCCATTGCATTACTTCTCTCCAGGCGTGTCTGCCTTCCTGAGTCTGCCGCTGGCTCCTGTCTGGGCGCCCACTCCCACTCCCGCTGCATGCGGCCACCCCCATCCCGCATTGCCCCCATAGGCCACCTCTCCCATCTGTCCTTGTGCAGGGCTCAGAACTCCTGCGGGACCCGTCCCTGGGGGCTCAGCTCCGAGTGCACCTGCTGAAGATGACCATCCTGACAGAGTCCCAGGTAGGCCTGCATCGAGTCTGAGGCCCAGAGCCACCAGAAGCCCCCTGGCTTCACTCCACCTCCCTCCTGGGCGTTGCCGCAGAGGCAGTGTGGTTAAGAGCAGGCGGCTCAGTCAGGGCTCTTGAGAGAGACAGACAGACCCGGTGAGAAGGACGGAGAGACTGGCTTCAATGGATTGGTTTGTAGCATTGTGGAGGCTGCAGGTCCCAAACCTGCAGGCCAGGCAGCAGGCTGGAGACGTGCCCTGGTGCTCCTCCCAAGACCTACAGGCCAGGCAGTGGGGAGAGGGCAGGATGGAGAGAGGAGCAGGTTCCACTAAGCATCTAGTGAGTTAAGGTCCAGAGACAGACCCGCTCTAAACATCTAGTTAGTTAGGGTCCAGAGACAGATCTGAATTGATCGACCACACTACATCATGGCGTGTGCTCACATCACACTGTACTGGGTTACATGGTGGAAGGTGCTTGTATCACATTGCTCCAGATTACGTCATGGGAAGTGCTTACATCACACTGTACCAGGTTGCATCATGAAGGGCCTTACATCCATTGCTCCGGATTGTAGTATGGAACAGCAGCTAGCTGCGTTTGGTCAGCCACCTAGGCATCGTGGACTCCAGGGGGACACAGCAGGGCTGATCAGACTGAAGTGGGTTGCAGCCCTGGCGCAGGCTCACACACTCGGGGCCTGCGTCTCCTCATCTGTGGCATGGGATGGTGACTGGGTCCTCACGAGTCACCCTGCACTCATTTGGGGTCCTGTGAGTGAGGCTCTGTTTCTGACGCCCCAGGATGCTCCAAACATCACAACCAACATCACCTCGTCCCTGCTTAGCGTCTGTGACTGGAGCAGGGCCATCAACCCCACAGATGATTCGGACCCGGCGCATGCGGACCTGGTCCTCTACATCACCAGGTATGCGCTGCCCCGGGCTGTTGGTGAGCCAGTGGGGAGCGAGACCCCAGCCCTGTCCCAAGAGAGACTCCAGCGTCTCTTCTTTCCCGAGGTTTGACCTGGAGCTGCCTGATGGGAACCGGCAGGTTCGGGGAGTCACCCAACTTGGGGGTGTCTGTTCCTCCTCGTGGAGCTGTCTGATCACCGAGGACACTGGCTTCGACCTGGGGGTCACCATCGCCCATGAAATCGGGCACAGGTACGTGGCTCCGCCGGCTATCCCTGAGCTCTGGCTAAGGGACTGACCCAGGCTCCCAGGAGGGCATGACGGGCCATGAGAGGCCACGACGGGCCAGCGGGTCCTGCTTTGATTCCAGTGGGATGGAGGGGTGGAGGGGGCAGAGGAAACGGACAGTTCTCCACTGAGGAGCGCTGACACGAGACAAGACTGAGAACATTAGGGAGCCAGGACGCAGGGGGCTAGCATGGGGCTGCCAGCGGGGGCAAAGCCAGCAGCTGGCTCACATCCACCAGCTCTGCGGGAGAGAGGAGGCCGTCTGCTCCTGTGAAGGCCGCAGTCTCAGAAACACACGGGGCAGTTCTACTCTGTCCTGCAGGCTGGAACAAACCGATGGCCGGTGAGTTAGGTTTGGAGTTTCGAAAAAACACGTTACTTCTTAAACCAAACCAAACAACACGCAGCCATAGCACCAAGAGAGTAAGTTTTATTTTTTTTTTTTTTTTTGAGAGTAAGTTTTGTAGGCAATTCAGAGAAAGAAATTCAGAGCAGGCTGTAAACATGCTCAACACTGGGCACTCTGCCCACATTTCACACTGAAACGTGGGCTTGCCCTGGTGGCGCCGTGGTTAAGTGCTGGGCTGCTGGAAAGGTGGGCTGTTTGAACACACCTTCAAGAGGTGGGAGAAGGGTGCAGCCTCTTGTGGAGAAGTCAGCTATGGGGACCCTCTGGGCAGCCCTACTTTGTCCTCTGAAGTCACCACAGGAGGCAGTGCCCCCGCCGGACACTGGGTCTGGTGAGGACTGGGTGTCCAGATTGTCCCTTCCGGACCCTCTCCCCCAGGGGCCCCGTGGCACTGCTGACCTCCCCAGCCCAGTGGGTTCTTTACAAAGTGCTTTCACCAAGGCTCTTGGTGTTGATAGACCTAAGGGGGAGAAGCCTCCTTGCCCAGGAAACTGAGGCAGGGCCGCTGTGGGCTCCAGCCCCCTGGGCTGGGGTCTGACATGGCTGGGGTTCGGCGTGGAGACCCTCAGCACCCCCTGTCTGCAGTTTGGGCTTGGACCACGACGGCGTGCAGGGTGGCGACTGCGAGGCGAGCGGCCACGTGATGGGGGCGGACGGAGGGACCCTGGCCCGCGCCGGTCCGGCCTGGTCCGCCTGCAGCCGCCGGCAGCTGAGACACCTACTCAGGTAGCGCAGGGCTCCATCCTCATCCCATCCCACCTTGCTCCGTCCGCGGCGTGCCGCCCCAGAGTCTCCACCCAGCTTAGGCGAGAGCCCCAACCCCAGCATCCTTCCCTCGCCCACCCGGCCCTCCATCCTGCCAAGAGGCCCCCACCGAGGGCCAAGCCCCATTCCCCTTCCCTGCCCACGCTCCAGCCGCCCCAGGCGCACCCCCCTGCCGGGGTCCCCTAACGTCCGTCCGTCTGCGCGCACCTCCGCGCCCTTGCTCGGCCCACCCACCGGCGCAGGGCCTGAGGGCGCCCGTGTCGCAGCGCAGGGGGGGCGCGCTGCCTGTGGGACCCGCCGCGGCCACTGCCCGCGCCCGCGGGGCGCCCGCTGCACGCCCAGCCCGGCCTCTACTACGGCGCGGACGAGCAGTGCCGCGTGGCCTTCGGCAGCCCCGCTGTCGCCTGCACCTTCGCCCGGGAGCACCTGGTGAGTGCGTCGCCCAGCGCGGCCCTCCTGCCTCCTAGGCGGCCCTGGGACATTATGGGCGCTTGGCACTTTGCCTCTGTGCCCCTTCAGCCACAACAAACACATTTAAGATGCTCCTTTAGTATGTGTATAACCTACAGACAATGGCCGTGTTCACCTAGGACAGCGGTTCTCAAGCTGTGGGTCGTGACCCCTCTGGGGGGTCAAACGACTCCTTCACTGGGGTTGCCAGATTCACAACAGTAGCAAATTTACAGTGATGAAGTAGCAATGAAAATAATTCTGTGGTTGGGGTCACCGCCACATGAGCTGTATTAGAGAGTGGAGGCATGCGGAAGGTTGACAACTGCTGACCTAGGAGGAGAAGTACAAATAAACTTACATTTTGTAGTAGAATATGTTCTTTGACCTTTTTGTTTTCTTCTTCTGACTTGACAGAGATTGAAACATTTTCAGGGACCAGGAGACTATGTGCCCTGACACTGTTCCCCTGCTTGGCGGTGGCCCTATGGCCTCCCTATCCCACAGAGCAGTACAGCCGGACCAGGTGTACCTGGCCTGGGAGGGACAGTCAAAGTATCCCAGGCAGCTGGTCCTTCAGCTGCTCCCTGTCTCCCCTCAGGACGTGTGCCAGGCTCTTTCCTGCCACACCGACCCCCTGGACCACAGTAGCTGTAGCCGCCTGCTCGTCCCACTCCTGGACGGGACAGAATGTGGGCTGGACAAGGTCAGAGGCTGGGGTGGAAAAGGGGGTGTGCCCATGTGTGTGCAAATAGGCTCCTGCACTCAAGCATGTGACCGAGTGTGTGTGCGTGTGCAGGTGTAGTGTGCGTGTGCAGGTGTAGTGTGCATGTGCATGCTTGTACAGGTGCAGTGTTCATGTATGTGTGCATGTGCAGGTGTTGTGTGCATTTGCAGGTGCATTGTGCATGTGTGTGCATGTGCAGGTAGAGTGTGCATGTGTGGATGTGTGTCCTTGCACACAGCACCCCCAGTCTGGTCGTCCTCGGGTTGCGGAGCGGGGGGAGCATGGTTATGGGGGCAGACTGGCAGTAGTTACCTGTACTACCTGGTCCCCTCTGGTGAGAGAGGCGGGGAGGACAATCTGGAGACATGTGGCCAGCTCCCCACTGGACTTAACAGACTGGAAGACGGGTTCGGGTGTGTGTGCCCCCGGAGGGTGGGGGGTGGATCCTCATCTCAGAATCTAGTACCCTGCAGGGAGGGGGTGCCCGCTGGTGCCCAGGACAGGCAGGCCCATGAGCCCCTTATCCGGCCTCCCCGAGCCCTGGAAGGAGGGCCTGTGTTTGGAGGGTGTGTGCCCTGCATGTGTGGACACGTGTGGACACACCCATGCATAGACATGCATGTGTGTTGGGGGCACATGTATGTGTGCCTGTGTGCACATGGGTGCACACGTTGTGTGAGCCTGTATATGTGTGTGCATGTGCATAGTGCGTGTGCATGCATGTGAGCACCTGCTGCCCCCTCCCAGCAGCCCCATCCTGTGGACCCCATGACTGGGATGGCAGCCCTCTGCTTGTTGGAAGCCCCTGGCGTGGAGGGGTGCAGCTGGTGGGGGTTGTTGGGGGCTGTGGGTGCCCATCCGGCCCTTGCTTTCCAGTGGTGCTCCCGGGGCCGCTGTCGTTCGCTGGCTGAGCTGCCCCCAACGCCTGCTGTACACGGGCACTGGTCCAGCTGGGGGCCCCCCAGTCCTTGCTCCCGCTCCTGCGGAGGAGGTGTGGTCACCAGGAGGCGGCTGTGCAATGACCCCAGGTACCTGCAGGGGTGGGGGTGGGGGGTGGCAGCCCCACACCTCACTCTGGCCTCAGGAGGCCCTCTCACCCTTTGTGGGCATTTCCAGACCCGCCTTTGGGGGGCGTGCGTGCCCAGGGGCCGATCTGCAGGCTGAGCTGTGCAACACCCAGGTAGGCCTGTGAGGGGCGGACTGGGGGCGGAGCCAGTCCTAGAGGGTCTGCAGACCCAGGGTGCCGCCGTAACTTGTAGTTCCCCCTGACGCTCCTGAGAGTGAAGGGGGCACCATTAAGACCACCCCCTAAATATCCCACCTCCCCCCAGGGTGCTGAACACCCAGGGGAGGGGGTGCAGCTCAGCAAGCACTCCTCATAGAGACACCCCTCACTGGCCCCTCCAGCCCGCCCATTACTGCAGCCCAGGAAGGTCCCTTTTCCGTGGTCAGGTGTCCCTGCCCCTCTGCTCTTGGCTGTCAGCAGACAGGAGACCAGGCTAGGGTGCTGGCTCTGGGGTGGCCTTTCTCCCTGCCAGCTCCAGGGTGGGGTGGGGGTTGGGGTGGGTTTGGGTTTGTCTCTTTTCAGCTCTCTTCCTGGGCTCCTTGGCGAGCTCCGTATGGCTCAGCCCTTCTCCCAGCCCCCCTCTGCTTTTCCGAGCTACTCCGTACAGCGCTGAAAGGGATGGACCTGCATTAACATAAACGGAAACATTCCCCAAGGGGATGATAACTCAGATGTAAACTCACTGCTATTAGAGCGAATCCCACTCACCCCGACCCTACAGGACAGACTAGAACTGCCTCTGTGTGTTTCCAAGGCTGGAACTCTTTCTAGGAGCAGGAAGCCTCATCCTTCTTCGTTGGCTGGCGGTTTCAAACTGCTGACCCTCTGGGAAGCAGCCCAATGTATAACCCACTACGCTACCAGGATTCCTCAGCTGGTAGACTCTAAAATAAATCGTCTTGCTGTCTAAGGATCCATCAGGAGACCTAGGGGGTCAGGCCGACGGAAAACAGGAGTTAATGCTCCGGCCCCCAACCTGCCCTAGTGATCGCACTTCCACAAGGCTGACTCAGAAAAAGGCTGCAGCCCGGCGACAGAGACGGTGGCCCCTCACTGACAGTGCTGCAATGTCCCACTGGGCCCCGAGCTGCAGGGTCCTCCTGGGGGTCTCCTGGTGCTATGCTCCGGGACCCTCCTCCAAGGCCCCTCCCCTGTGCTCACCCTTCCTCCCTTCCCTAGGCCTGTGGGACCAGCCAGCTGGCGTTCATGTCCGAACAGTGCGCCCAGACTGATGATCAACCGCTGCTCCTCCCCATGGGCGGTGCCACCTTCTACCGCTGGGGCTCAGCCGAGAAGTACAGCCGAGGTGACTGGGGTGGGAGACACTCGGGGTATGGAGCTGCTCAGAGGCAGGCCTGGAACCAAATCCCAGCCCACCCCTAACTGCCAGGTCAGGCCAAGGGCTTCCGCCCCAGGGGCCTCCATGTCTCCACATGCAGACTGGGGTCGGAGCAGCCAGTCTCCTGGGAAGGATGCGTGGAGGTGACACAGGCTTGGCCGGAGCTGACAGCTCTCCCTGCAGCCCGGGAGTCAGTCGGTGCGACTCACTGCAGGCCTGCAGGACAGAGTAGAGCGTCCCTGGGCCGTCCGAGCGATCCCGGCCTGGGCAGCCCTCAGGGGCGGCTCTCTCTGTTCTCAGGGGGTCCCCAGGGGCTGAAATGGACTAGGTGGCACACGGCAGCAGCTCCCCTCCTAAACCGAAATCCAAACTCCCTGCCATGGGGTCGGTTCTGACCCACAGCCACCCTCTAGGACCAGGGCAGAGCCACCCTAATGTGTTTCCAAGACTAGCTCTTCAGGGGAGTAGAAAGCCTCATCTTTCTCCCATGGAGAGGCTGGTGGTTTTGAACTGCTGGCTTTGTGGTTAGCAGCCCCACACGTAACTACCAGGCAAAGGCAAGTACATTATCGTTACGGTGATTATTCACTAAACCCAACCCACTGCGGCGAGGGGATCCGACGGCTCCTAGAGACGGTACAGCGAGTTTCCCAGGTTGCCCAGCTGACAGGAGCAGACAGCCCTATCCTCCCTCAGCGCGGCTGGTGGGTTAGAACCACCGACCTGTGGTTAGCAGTCCTTTGCTTACCCGACAGCGCCACCAGGATGAAGCTGCCAGAGGGTGCTGGCAGGACCGGCCAGGGTCCCAGAGGGACTCCCAGCCTGGTCGCTGCCCGCCGCCTCCACCAGGGCCCCTCCTCTCTGCTCTCCAGGGGACACTCTGTGCAGACACATGTGCCGGGCTGTGGGGCAGAGCTTCCTCGTGAGCCGTGGACACAGCTTTGTGGACGGGACCCGCTGTGTGCCCAGCGGCGCTCGGCAGGACGGAACCCTTAGCTTGTGCCTGTCGGGCAGCTGCAGGGTGAGTGTGCTTGTGTGTGTGCCATTGGGGCCTGGGTCCAGCCTGGACTCAGCTGAGGGTGGACAGCTTCATGGTGGCCTCAGGGGTGTCATTCCAGCCCCTTGGTAGATGGCAGGCGTGGGGGGGGGGCGGTCCAGGGGGCAGGAGCGGCTCACCTGATCCTGCCCTTGGCACAGACAATGGGCTGCGATGGCAGGCTGGACTCCGGGCAGGTGTGGGACGTGTGCCAGGTGTGTGGAGGGGACAACAGCTCGTGCAGTCCACAGAATGGGTCTTTCTCAGCCGGGAGAGCCAGAGGTAGGGGGCTCCCTTGGGGTACAGGGGTACTCATTGACCCGCGCAGCTGGAGACTCAGGGGAATTGACGGAAGCCTGGCGCACCTGCCTGACACCCTTCACAATGCCTCCCTCCACCCTGCCCCTTCCCACCATGCACTGGACTTGACTGTGGCCCAGTCCCTGGGCTCGGTCAGGATGCCTCTGTGAAGCTAGTGTACCACATGGTGTGCGTCTCGGGCTGGCCAGCCCCTCACCGCTCCAGCAAGCATGGCAGTAGTGGGTCAACAGCCAGGCTCCACTTTTCAGCAACTCTCAGAAGCATTGGAGCATCTCCCACTGCGGGGACCAGAGGCTCACCGCCCCCAGGCGGGCCGTGCACGCTGCCTGCTGTGGAGGATGTGGACCTGCCCCCTTGCCCCCCAGGGCGGCCCTGCAGCCAGGCTTGATGGCCCAGTGACCTGACGGGCTGCACCGCCCAGCAGGCAGCCTTTTGCACGCTGGGGGCAGTGTGTCTGCTTCCTTTGGATGGCTGTGACCCGGGGTCCCCCATCCACCCGTCTTCCATCCCTTCCAGAGTACGTGACCTTCCTCACGGTCACCCCCAACTTGACCAGCGTCTACGTCGCCAACCGCAGGCCCCTCTTCACCCACCTGGGTGAGTTGACAGAGGACCCACTGTCAGCCTTTTGTCCCCGAAGGTCTACTGCCCCGACCTTTCCATCCGAGATGTGGCCGCTGACCCCAGGCTCCCTGTGTCCCCAAGCTAGCTGCCTGCCGGCTCCTGAGGGCCTGCCCCCTGGTGAGGGGAAACAGACCCCCAGGCTCCTCAGGTCCAGAAAGTGCTTTCTGTGTGCACATGGTGGAGGGCGTCCCCAGGGAGAGACCACCAGACCGAGAGGCCGAGGCCAGGAGGCTCCTCCTCCAGGGAGGGTGGGGCTTGACTGGCTCCCTCCACTCAGGACCTTGTCTGCCAAGCGGGTCCTGCAGGAGCCCAACTTCAGGTGATGGGGGGTTTAAAACACTCGGTTGTCAGGGGGTCAGGGCCTCAGGTTTCGTGCCCCCCCCCCCCCAAGCCGTGAGGATCGGAGGGCGGTACATCATAGCTGGGAACAGCAGCATCTCTCCCAGCACCACCCGCCCCTCGGTCCTGGAGGACAGCCGCCTCTCCTACCGTGTGGTCCTCACGGACGAGCAGCTCCCACACCACGAGGAGCTCCGCATCCAGGGACCTGTCCAGGAGGACATCGAGGTCCAGGTGACCGTCCTCCCCGTGGCGAGGCCACTCAGGGCTCTGGGAGTGGAGGGGTGCCCGGACTGGGCACTCAGCCCCCACAGTTGGCCACTCACTGAAGGTTGTCAGTTCAAGTCCAGCTAGAGGGGCTGGGAAGAAAGACCCTTCACCGGGGGGCACTGGCTCCCAGCAGACTCAGGGGCAGCCCTCCTGCCCTGCACTGTGCCCCCACGAGACTGTGTCCACCCCACCCCTGCTGCTGCTTTTAGCGCCTCTCTTTCCTCATCCAAAGAATTGGTCTTTGACCTTGGTTCTGGGGGGGGAATCCCCTGGGGATTTCTAGACTGTTTGGAGATGCGCCATCCCTGGGGCATCTGGGCTGGCTCTGAGTGCTTATGGTAAGGAGGTGACTCAGGCCAGGCCAGAAAGACACCCCCCCCCCACTCTGATGTCGGTGGGCCTCTGAGGAGAAGGAGGGTTGGAGGTTGAGTTCACCCATGTGTGTGAACCCAGCTCGCCTCTGTCATGAGACCCCAAGAGACGCTGTGGGCATGGGAGCTCCCAGAGTGTCCTGGCTGGTGGCAGACTCTGATGCTCCGCAGGGCGGTGTGTGTCCACCCCGGGGTCCTCCCTGACCTCCTTGTCATTAAGCTGGGTCCATATGCCTGCCCAGGTCCCAAGATTTGTCCAAGCAAATTCTAGAACCTGCAAGGGTAGTGAGAACCCCCCACCCCAAATGTGAAGTCAGAAGGCAATGCCTGTGAACAGCTTGGGCCCTCTGTCCACCTCCGTGCAGGTTTACAGGCGCTACGGTGATGAGTACGGCAGCCTTGCCCGCCCAGACATCACCTTCAGCTATTTCCAGCCGAAGCAGCTGCCGGCAGGGGTGTGGGCTGCCGTGCTGGGGTCCTGCTCGGTGAGCTGTGGGGCAGGTGAGGCCGGGGAAGAGCTGGCCTGTAGTGCCAGGGGACCCCGCTGGACATGGCCGAGCCTGCAGTGCCGGGGCCCCCGCTGGACATTGCCGAACCCCACTCTGACCTCCCAGGGAGGCGCTGGCTGACCTTCCGCTGTCTGGACCAGGCCCACCATGAGTGGGTGGTGGCTGCCCAGTGCCATGGGAGCCCCAAGCCACCATCAAGGCTGGAGCCCTGCACCCCCGCACCTTGTCCCTCCAGGTGTGTGCTGGGCGTGGTTTCAGGGTCTCAGGGGTGGGGTCAGCATGGGACCTGGCTCTGGGCTGCCAGGTTCTGCTCAGATTTCTTCGCTTCTGAGGCGGATTCTGCCTGCGTCCCCATTGAGGACAAGTGGTTGGAGGTTGGCCTGGTGGCGGCAGTGTGAGCCCCCACCTGCACGGTGGTGGCTGTGAGCTGAGCCTCTCAGAGTGAGCTGGAGGTGCTGGTGCTGCCTGGGGAGGAGGTGGTGGGCGCAGAGGAGAGATGGACGGCCTGGCCACCATCCGCCACCAGGTGCCTGACAGCAGCGTCAGGTTGCCTCACTGGGACGCTGCAGGGTGAGCGGCCTCCAGGTGTGCACCGCACTGGGTTTGGGCACCTGGGCTGGGCACATAGGACTCCTGGAGAGCCTGGTGCCAGGCTCAGAACAGGGCAAACTATTGGCTGGACACAACCACTTGGCTGCCTCACCTCCAAAGTCCCCTTCACCCCCAGAATCCCCCTCACTCCCGAGTCCCTCTTACCCCCAGAATCCCCCTCACCCCATGTCTCCATCACCTCCTGTGTCTCCTCCAAGAGTCCCCTCCAAGCTCCCCAGTCCTCCAAGCAGCACCGCCTCTCGGGTGTCTCACAAGGTGACCTCCCATCTCCCCTGAGCTGGGGACCCCTCCTGGTGCACCTGTGCTGTGTGTGTGGTGCTTGTGGCCTAGGTGGAGGTCTGCCTTTGCCCCTGGATGGCAGGAGGGGGCAGACGCCCCACAGAGGGGACCTGTGGAAACACGTTCTGACAGGGCACTCAGCTGGCCCCTAGGGAAAGATCCCCATGGGCCCCTCAGGGCTCCCAGATGTTGGGGAGCAGGCCCTTCGCCCCCACACCTGGGCCAATGGCAGTGGCAGGTCCCGCTGACCCTGCGCTGTCTGCAGGACAGAGGCGCTGCGCCCAGCTGTGAGGAACCAGACCTGCGTCCTGGGGACAGAAGGCCAGCAGAGGGCAGCGGCGGCTGCACCGTGCTCCACAGGGGGGTCAGCACCCACAGTGGCACCCTGCACAGGGGGCACGTGTCACCAGGAATGGGACCACGTGAGTGCTCTGGGGTGAAGTGGCCAGGCACCCTGGGTCTTCATCTGTCCAGGGCAAGGAGCAGCTACCCAGGGCCCTGATCTGAGGCCTTGAAACAGGATGTCCAGTGCCCTCCTGCCCCTGGGCCCGGCTGCAGAGGACTGTAGTCGGCCTCCACGCTCCAGACTGGTGGGGCTGGTTCTCGGGCCAGATGTTCCCCTCTGCCTCTCACAGCTGCTTGTATGCTCATCTGCATGAGCAGTCCACAAAGGTGGGGGCAGGCGTGCTAAAACCCTCTGCTGGGGGTGGGGGGGGACAGGGTCTTTCCAGAAAGTCAGCGTTCCCCCCACCCCCACTGAGATCTGTGGAAAGATGGACGGCTTAGGGTGGGGGGCTGGGTGCATGGCACCTGGAGGTCCACAGTTGGTTGTTGTCCGTGCAGCTGGCTGCCACCTCTCCTCCAGAGGCCACTCTGCCCCCGCTGGGCAGTGCCAGGCCCCGGGCTTTTGCTGCACATGTGTGGATGCCCCTGGGTGGGCCCTGCTCCGTCTCCTGTGGCCAAGGTGAGGGACCTCCAGGCTCAGATGCCCTAAAGGGTCCTGTCCAGAAAGCAGTGGAGGCAGCTCCCAGTAAACCCATCAGTCCGGGGGGTGGGTGGGTGGGTGGTTGTGTGTGTAAATGGTTAAGCGCTTGCTGACCAGCTAGAAGGCTGAGGTTTGAATCCACCGGGGCACCTCAGAAGAGAGGCCTGGGGCACTAGGAGTCCACGCAGCTTCCAGTACAAGTCATCCAGGAACAAAGTAGAAGCCTACACCGCCTCCCAAATCTTACACAAGGAGGCTGGGGCCAAGAGCCCGGGAGCCCTTTGAAAGGTGTTGACCGACTGATCAGAAGGCGGGAAAGGTACAGCCAGGTGATAGCCTGTGGCCTCCACACTTAGCTCTGAGCCCCCCCAGGGCTCAGTTCCCTCCTGCTGCTGGAACAGAAATCTCAGGGGGTGGGGGGAACCTTAACGCACATACGTTTACTTTTTCACTGTTCTAGAGGCTAGAAGTGACTCCAGGACCAGTTCCCACAGGGGAAGGCTCTTTCTCCGTCGGCTCTGGGGAAGGTCCTTGCGCTCCAGGCCTCTGTAGTGCAGCCTTCCTGTGTCCCTCTGTTCACTTGGCACCCGCCTCTGCCCCGTTTGGGCTTGTTCCTTGTTAGGACTCAGAAGAGAGGGGGCTTCAGACACACCCTCAGAGAAGACCCTCCTCCCAGTAGGGACCCCAGCCACAGGCACACTCTCCCCAAACCAGCCTGCTGACTCACAGCGGCCCTGCAGGACAGGGCAGAGCTGCCCTGTGGGTTTGCAAGGCTGTCGCTCTTCATGGGAGTGGAAAGCCTCCTCTCTCTCCTGTGGAACGGCTGTGGCCTCAAACTGCTGACCTAGTTGGCCCTGCGGTCAGCAGCCCAGCGCCTCACTGAGATGCCACCGGGCCAGGTGCACAGGGGCTAGGATGCCGACACATCTGCAGGCGTCATTGATCCACCACAGCCGGTCCTTCGGTCACAACCCGGCCCCTCGCTCAGGGAAACCTCCGCATGCACAGGGCTGGGGTCCGATGCCCCTTGGGGACCCTCCGAGGGGGAGAGTCCTGCACGCACCGTCTTGAGAGACGCGAAGAGCCCTTCATTTAGAGCAGCGGTTCTCAACCTTCCTCATGCCGCGACCCTTTCATACAGCTCCTCGTGTTGTGGTGACCCCCAACCATAACATTATTTTCATCGCTACTTCATCACTGTCGTTTTGCTACTGTGATGAATCGGGCGACCCCTGTGAAAGGGTCGTTCCACCCCCAAAGGGATTGAGACCCACAGGTTGAGAACCCCTAATCTGGCCACCACAGTGCCTGCCATTAGGTGCCAGCTGGTTGCTTCTGACCCACAGCGGCCCGTGCACCACAGGACGAAGCACTGCTCGGTCCTGCGCCTGCCGGCCTCACAGCCCAGCCTGAGCCCATTGCTGTAGTCGCTGTGTCCACCCATCTCAGGGAGGTTCTTCCTCTTGTGGACCCTCTGCTTCACCAAGCAGGAGGTCCTTCCTGGCTCCCCTTTAAACCTGTGCAAATGCAACATCGGCTCCGTTATGGGAGCACCTGAGGTCAGGAAGGTTAAGTGGCATGGCCAGTGTCACTCGTGGGTAAAAGGCAGGGCCAGGCCTCGCACCCCCAGCATGGCTCTACCTGTGGACCCTCTGGGTGAGGCAGGCAGCCATGGGTCTCACGGAGGCCCCCTCTGGGCACGCGGCCTCTGCTTCCTCCCTAGGCCTGCGAGAGCTGCATTCTGTGTGCAGGGATGCTGCCCGAGGCACGGTGGTCCCAGAAGAGTGGTGTGACCCAGAGGGCAGGCCCGGGAGCCGGCGGGAGGTGTGCCAGGCTGCCCCGTGCCCAGCGCGGTGAGTCGGGGCAGGATGATGCCAGGAGGGAGGGGTCTGGCCCGAGAGAGCACCAGCCTGCTTCTGTAGGTGGGAGGCACACACCTCTTTGCCATGCTGGGTGACCTGTAGGGGAACCAGGAGCCATTAGCTGGACCAGTCTGAGGTCAAGTGCCCCGCCCCCTGGAGCCCTTCTGGCCCTGGCTCTGGCTTTCCCCACTTCTTCCCATCTCTGGCCTCGGTTTTCCCTCCTGGAACCTGGGAAACAGGTTTGATGCTGTCTTCTGCTCACGGAGCGGTCAGCCCAGGACCTGGCTGTGGGAGGTCTTGGTGGACAGGTGAGGGCTGGGTGGGGCCAGGCACCCTGATCCCCGACTGCCCGCAGGTGGCGAGTGCTGTCACCAGGACCGTGCTCTGCCAGCTGTGGCCTCGGCTCTGCCCAGCGCTCAGTGGCCTGCGTGCGGCTGGACCAGGGCCATGAGACTGAGCTGGGCCCAGAGGCCTGTGTGGGCCTAGAGCGGCCGCCATCCATTGTGCCCTGTCTGCTCGCCGACTGTGCCTACCGGTGGCAGGTCAGCACCTGGATGCAGGTGAGCCAGCACCTGGGGGTGCACTCCCCATGGGGCTGGGGGTGCCTTGGGCTTTGATTCAGGGGACCCTGGGCCTATCACTGTGGGGTTGCATGCCCCTACCGCTGACCCAGACCCTCCCTTGGGGGACCCAGGAAACTCGGTGTTTCCAGGTCTGGGCTGGGGGCAGGGCTTGATGTGGCACCAGACTGCAGACTCGGTGCGATGGGCCTGTGGGGGCAGAAAGGAGTGAGGGTTCTCAGGGTACCACCAAGAAGCAGGCGCTGCAGTGTAGGGGTGATGAGTGAGTGATGTTGGGAAGAGCATAAAAAGGGGGTGCGAGGGGGGGGCTCCTCCTGAGTCGGCATCATTGGAGCTGCCAAGGCAAGGACAAGTGGAGGTGGGGGGCATGGACAGGTGAAGGAGCTCAGATCAGGCCACAGGAATAGGTGAGGGGAATCAGGAACAAGGGGGGGGTGGTCAAGTCAGGCTGCAGGGACAGGTGAGGGAGATCAGTGACAGGTGAGGGAGATCAGTGACAGGTGAGGAGAATCAGGGACAGGTGAGGGGTGGGGGGCAGAGACAGGTGACAGGGGTTAGTTTAGGCCACAGGGATGGGTGGGGGGAGTCTAGTTGGCCCTCTGGGGTGGCCGAGGCAGAGAGGCCTGGCGTGCGCAGGTTGGAGACTGGTTTGAGCACTGCCCCCTCTCCAAGTGACCTCTCTGAACCTGGCTCCTCCTTCAGCTGCCCTCACCCCAGGTTGTGCAAACTCCACCCCGCTCCTGGGCAGTGGTGGGTGCACAGCAATGGGGTCACCCATTCCTCCCACCCCTGCCCAGTGCTCTGTCTCTTGTGGGAATGGGATCCAGCGTCGGAGGGACGCCTGCCTCGGCCCCGAGATGCCCGTGCCTGCCCGCTTGTGCCAGCACCTGCCCAAGCCAGTGACGGTGCGGGGCTGCTGGGCAGGGCCCTGTGGAGGGCAGGGGACGTCCAGCCCAGCACCCTCCAAAGTGACCACGGCCGGCCGGACCCCAGCTGCCCCCGCAGGAGCTGCCTCAGAGCTGCCCGGGACACGGGCCCACCTCCCCTCCCCTGCGCCCTGGCCTCAGGGTCCCCTGGCCCATGCCCTGGAAAACCCTGCCGAGTCTAGTTAAGTTCCTGTTCCCACCTTCCCACCGGCACTCCCTGCAGGAGGGGCTGGCGGAAGCATCTCCCCACGGGGCAGCAGGGACCAGCTCCTGGAAGGGGGCGGCAGCGTGGGGCTCCCCTGTGGCCACAGCATGTGCTTTTATCTAAGGAAACTCACCAAGCCAGGGCTGAAGTGACAGGGCCTGGCTCTACCCTGTGCAGAGCTGCGTACGACCCTTACTGCTGGCCCTGGGGGCCCTGTCGGGGTGCGCAACCCTCCCATGGGCCCAGTCCTCCTAAGAGTGCCCCCCTCCCACCAGGTGTCTGTGGACAGCAGCTCCTGGAGCCAGGCGGAACCATTGACCTGCGAGGCCCAGGGCCGGGGGACTGTGTGGTGGCCATAGGGCGGCCCCTGGGAGAGGAGGTCACCCTGCATGTGCTGGAGAACTCCCTGAACTGCAGTGCTGGTACATCCAGGTCCCACGGTGGTGCCCCCAGCCCTCCCCATGGCCATCTCGTGACTGGGGTGTGATGACTCCCATTCTACCGATGGGGAAACAAGAGGCAGGGAGGGGATGCGCCTCATGCCCTGGGCCTGAAGGCCCGTGGGGACATGAACCCCTGTGGGCTCTCACGGGTGGTGACTTGACAGGGGACCTGGTGCTGCTGTGGAGCAGGCTCACGTGGAGGAAGCTGTGCAGGAAGTTGGCTGGGACCGTTGTCAGCTCCCGGGGCAACACGCTGCTGGTGAGGCAGCGCCGCCGGCGGCCAGGGGTCGGTGTGGTGCTGCACTACCACGGCCGGCCGGCCCCACACCTGCCCCACCAAGGTACAGCCATCCGCGGGCAGCGGGCTGGGCTGGGGGCTTCTGGAGGGAGGGGTGAGACCCCGGGGTGTGTGCCATGTCCCTCCCTTTCTGAGGCTGATCGGTTGGGAGGATGGACAGTGTCGGTAATATCGCCGGCCACCTGCTTCCTGGGCCTGGCAGCAGGACTCTGGGCCAGGAGGACCCGGCTGGGTGGCACTGAACTCCTTCTCCGAGGTGGCTGGCTTCTGCATGCCGCTGCCCTTCACCCCTGCTTCCACTCCTTGTGCCACCTTGCAGAGCTGGGTGCGTGTGTGTGCACCCTTGCACGTACACACACACGCGCGCGTGTGCACCTGCCCCACTTGTACCTCCTTTGATGGTACTCCGCTTGGCCCTGGCCCTGCCTCTCCTGGTAGTGTCTCCAGCCAAGAGGGACCAAAGCTCCCCAGGTGCCACAAAGGGACAGCCTCTTCGGGCCCGGATGCCACTCCCTGCATGCAGGAAGTCCCCAGGACTGCGGCTGGACTGCACCCCGTTGGCACACATGACAGCGCTGAGGGCTCGGAAGGGCCAGTCTCTCTGTCCCAAGGAGGGGAAGGGGCGAAGAGTGCACGGTGGAAGGGGCAGAGCAGGGATCGTTGGGGGCTTCTGCCCCCTGACTGCGAGCTGCCTTGGCCTCTGGCCCCCTTTGGAGCCCTGTATCCCTGAGGTGGCCACGCCTACTGCATGCCCCGTCTCCCCACAGAATGTGACATGCAGCTGTTCGGGCCCCGGGGTGAGCTTGTCAGCCCCTTGCCGGGTCCCGACGGGAGAAGTGCCGGGGGCTGCCGGATCTTCATCAACGTGGCCCCACAGGCCCGGGTGGCCATCCACGCTCTGATCACCAACATGGGCACAGCAACCCATGGGGGCAACCCCGGTTACATCTCGGTGAGGCCACCAGGGCAGGGACAGGCAAGAGGGTGGCTTTGCTGGGAGGCTGGCACAGTTGACCCTGGGGATGGGGATAGGCTGGGCTAGTGGACCCTTCAGTTTATTTCAGACCAGTGACGGTGTCATGGCCAATAATGATGACCAGGAGATGGGTGTTTCCCCCAGTGTTTGTTGAACACTCCAAAAGAGTCTATCCTAGCTCCCAGTGGGTGGGTGACCCCTGTGTGGGGAGCAGAGCTGTGCACCCCCACAGGGTTTTCAGTAGCTGGATTTCGCCCGGCCTTTCTTCTGAGATGCCACGGGGGTGGACTCAAGTGGACAGGAGAGAAACAGACAAGAGGGCCAGTGCAGCCTGGTGGATGTGTAATTTCTAGCCCCAGCTTAACTTGGTGCTCCTGGGAGAACCACCCTCCCCAGGGAGGTGGCAGCCTGGGCCCGGGAATGGCTGGCCTGACCTCAGATACCAGCTCTCTGAGTCTCAGTGACCCCCACGTAGGAGCCTTGTATGAGACCCCTAACCAGACACCAGGCCAGACCACTGCAACTCAGTGGGTTCCGACTGATTTCACATGTGGCCTGGCCCCCCAGATCCGGGACACCCACAGCCTGAGGACCTTCACCTTCCGAGGCGGGCACCGGTCGCTCTACTGGGAGTCAGAGGGCAGCCGGGCAGAGGTGGAATTCAGCGAGGGCTTCCTGGAGGCACATGGCAGCATGCGGGGCCAGTACTGGACCCTCCCAAGAGCAATGGACACGGGCACTCCAGCCGGCCCTAGCTTCCTCTCCAAGCTCCGACAGCAGGGTCTCAGCGGTGACCTGGAAAGGGCGACCGGAGCCAGCAAGGGACGGGATGCTTACTGAAGGACCGGCTGCCTGGCCAGCCTGGGGCCCTACTGAGAAGTGGAAGGCAGTCCCCACCCCTCTGGTACCAATAACAGGATCGTGTGGCACCCGCAGCCCGCATGCTTGTCGGCGTCCTCTGTCCAGACAAAGACGGGGCTTCCCTGGCCTCGGCTGGACAAACGGACTCACTGTCCATGTGGGCAAGCTACCCGGGGGAAGGAGCGACCAGGGAGGGCACGGGGAGTCAGCATTGTGCCTGAGGCTGGCCGTTCGCTCCGCCCTTGAGCTGTGCCTCCCGGCCAGCAGATGCCTTGGGCGGGTGTGTCCGCCGACGCCAGGCCCTGCCCCCTATGCTAATATTAGGGTTCACTCCGTGCGCCACGCTGTCCACCGAGCTTCGCCCCTGGGTTAATAGGAGACGCCCTGCCTGGGAGGACGCCGCCCCGGTGCTATTCCCGGTTTCCCGAGCAGGCCGTCGGCCGTCCAGGGGTGGGTGTGTCCCGCTGCCACCAGGCCCCGCCCTCTGCGCGCACGGGAAGGGCCGCCGGCCGCCGGGGGGCCCTGCGGCCCCGCCCCTTATGCTAAGGAGGCAGGTCTCCCACCAGGCCCCGCCC